TAAAAGCTTCCCCCTAGATGTGACTTCCATTGTCAAGCACAGATGGACCACCTTCCTCTGTAACCAACTTGCTCTCAGTTGTGCACTTAGTCTTTGGTTTTTTGCAACTCTTTTAGGAAAACATGGAAGCTCCTCTTAGTTCATCGGCCATCACGATGTGGATGTGGAATGTAGTCTGCAGACCCCAGATGAAGGCAAAACACCTCTATGGTCACCTCTACTCCCAGAGGGCAGGAAATGAAACCCTACCAGAGATGCTGGAAGAAAACTGAAAGCATTTTTGGACCACACCAGCAGCTACCCCAAGTGTTCAGCAGAGTCTAAGGCTTAATCCCTGTTAATTCTTCATCATCAAACTCATCACCGAAGTTCTCTGTGGCTTGCTTTCTGTTTCTCCCCTGGGGTCACCAAGCCTGTCTTTACATTGTAACATACTTGCAAAGCAGAGAAAGATGAGAAATGATTTCAACATTATTCTTCATCGATCGATAAGGCAGTTCTTTCCCTTCTACCTTGCTGGCCTCACACCTGCTTCTGTTCCAGATGTGCCTATTCTTAGCTGAGCCTCTGCCTTGCTTCAAGCTGAAGCCTGCAGACAGCATAAAGCAGGAGTCAAACGTGTGAGCCCTGGAACCAGGATTCTGGTGTCAAATCCTTGCTCTTCTACCTAGAAGCCAAAGGACCCTGGACAACAGGATGTTAATTCCCTGTGTGTTATTCTCAGTTACCTCCTCTTAAAAAGGAAGTCAGTGATATTTATCTCATAGATCTGGTAAAAGTATTAAATAGGTTCATCACTTAGTTACTGACACACAAAAAAACACTATGCTACAACCACCCTGAATCTTAGTGGCTTAGTACAGTTATTCACAGATGGACAGGTCAGCTGAGGATTGGTTGAGGGTCAGTGGATCCAGGCTGTGCTTAGCTGCAGAGCCTCTTATTTCCTCTGAGCTCTGCATGTGTGGGCAGTGCTTAGGGCCACTGGCTGGTTTGGACTGGGTTTTGCTGGGGGACTCTGTTTTTTTTTTTTTTTTTTTACACAAATGTCTCAGATACATCCTAAAACAAGACTGCTATATCAAGTGTTTTTCAAACCATAACAATATAGAAAGGAGGACAAGCTTAAATAAGCTAGAAATTGTGTACCTTAGGCTATATTATCCCTTGCAGAAAGGAGTCAACATGACTGGTTTACTTGTTCTTAAAAGATGTCTGCTTGCAAGGTTGGATTTGGGAAGAATTTCCACCATTCTTTAATAAAAAAAAGTTTAAAATGTCTAAACTTTTTGTGTAAACAATATGTTTATGCTACACATCAATTTTCCTGTGAGAGTCTGAATTTTTGATACCTATTGAACTGAGGGTGCCTATCTAACCACCCCCTAATAAAACCCCTGGTCTTTGAGTCTCTGATGAGCTTTTCTGATAGACAGCATTGCACCTGTGTTGTCACAATTGTTGCGGGAGAATCAACTTCATCCTGCCTGAATCCCCTGCGGAAAGATTCTTGGAAGCTTGAACCTAGCTTTTCCAGAATTTGCTGTGAACCTTTTATCATTCCTGATTTTCCTTGGTACTCTTTTTACTGCCATAAATCATAGACATGTGTACAAACATATATTAAGTCACGCTGATTCTAAAGCATTAGCAAATCCGAAAGTAGAAGCAGAATCCTTGATGTAGTAGGTGTCAAAAGTAGGAATTGTTAGAACAAGCTTGACTCACTGGAAAGGAGCAAAACCATTCTTTGGGAAAGGGAAGAATGAACAGGCAGGAGGTTACAAGCTTTTAAAGCTGGACAGAGCTGCCCAGGGTATTCCAGAGGAGCTGGGCTGCTGTGTGCTAAAACCTATCTGTGGGATTTGTAAATGATTGAGAGTAGGCTCCCTGGGCCACCCGTTGCTTTTGGTTATGCCAGCTAAAGTCAGAGAGAACAAATGGCAGCTCAGGCGACACTCTGGCTTTTGTTCTCCCCATCATTTGGGAGGAAAAAGGGCTCAAATGTACCTGCAGGTGAGTCTTTTGATACATTGTTCTTTCCTCCAAAAGGTAAGGGAAACATTAAATCAGTTTCCAGGACTAGAGCAAGCAAGGGGTCCAGGGACTCTCCAGCCAGCCTGCCAGTTCTTGAGCCCCCCACAGCCCCACTACAGTAACTGCCACTATCCTACCAATGCCAGCTAGAATCTTGCCTGGCAGTTGCATTATGAACCACATAGTCGCAGAAGGTGGTGCCAGAAGAATAAATGTTCAGGCAGGGAAAAGGTTCTTAAGGAAAATTCTTAAGGAAAGCTTGGTGCATTACGAATAGCACATGTGAATGTGTCATAAAAATTGATGCAAAATGCTATGTGCTTATAATTTCAGAAATGCTAGCAGGATCATCTCAGCCAAGAAGGCGGCAAAGAAAAAGTGCTATCGGGGCAAAGAAAAAGTGATATGGGTTTTGCATCAATGGGTGGAATGTAAACTCTTGGGCCACTAGAAACAACACTAGTCTCTGTAACCAGGGGTTTTTGCTGCTAGTCCCTACTGGAACCGCAGGAAAATGGGTAGTAATAGGTAAAGAGAAGCAAATTCCAGACGGACACATACTTTTAAAATTTTATTTTTTTAATTAAGTCTATTGGTACAATTTTGACATAGTGATCTTACTTGTCATAGGAAATTTGTACCTGTATAAGATGTATCTTGATTCCTCTTTCTTGTAGAATTTTAAAGAGCAGTTTTAGCTTGGTAAAAACTCTCATAAAGTCAGATGTCTAACCTTTGGAAGAGTTAGTGACTTTCTGGCCTGGTGCGCACATTTTAGAGAAGGTCGATGCAAGCTGACATGATAAAAAGGGAGTTAGGAAAGTCTCGACAGTTGGACTTGGAACACAACTATTTGGCATTTTGCTGCTAAGAAATGCCTTTGCCTTTTTCAGAAATCTTGAAATCCAAGATCCTAACTCCTCAGACTTTAAGCTAAAATCCGATATTGTCTGTGATAGGTAATTTCTGCCTGCACAAACTGTGCTGAACTAGAGGATAGACTCCATGAATAGGACTCCAATCTGGAGACCAGGGTAGTCCTCAGAGGGAACAAAAATCATGAAAGGAGCATGGTTGCTGACTGGGCCATGTGGGTCACATATAAATGCTCATGAAGAGGGGCTACTTTCTGATAGGACCTCCTGAAATTGAGGCACTCTTAGCTTAGACCTTTCTGATACAGAAACTGAATGCATTCCTTTGTATGTTTGCTGCAGAAAGCTGCGCACTAGGGAGGGCACACTCCAGAGAATGTGACCTCTTCACCACTCCTGATAGATTGGACTCTTGGCCCGCTCTGGGAATATCTGGCTTTCGTTGCCTGGTGCTTGACTTTCTAGATTAGCTGCAGTTTGCCACGATCAACATCCAGCCTGATGCTTCTACCCTCCCTTTTCTCCTGCACACACATCTTACCAGGCACTGAATTACTCGATGCAGCTGTTTCCATGGAGGGACTGGTTTTTCCCCAGGCTGTGCACTAGATAAATGATCAGGACAAAAGGTAGGATGTTACGTAAGCTCCTGTTGAATAAATTCATGTTGCAACTTCTGAACATTCAAGGTTCCATCCTAACTTATTTCTGATCATGCATTGTGCCTTTCTCAGTAACTGGCATAAAAATATTATATTGCAAAAATGCTTTTGTCCCCTTGCACATAACCTTTCACACAAAGGCCCAATGGAGAAAAACGAATGGTTAGGAGAAAAAAGGTAAAGTAATGACAACTAAATGGAAAAGATGGTTTTGTAAGGACAAAAAACAAACCCTGAAACCCGAGATTGTACACGGAAAGGTAAACAATGAGGAGGTCATTTGAGAACTGTTTCTAGAAGCTTCTATGTCTTTGTGAGGAGAAACTCCTCGTGCTGTCTTTCCTGGGTGTTATAGATGCTCTGCATCCAAGCTGATTCCTGAGCCTTCAGTATAGACATCACAATAAACATCACCCATGCGATGTCATGGAACAGCAAAACTATTCGGAGCTCACTCTGAAGCTTCCTGTAAAACCCAGGACAGGCTGAATGTACTTGGAGTGGACTGAGAGTTCTTGGGTAGTAGGCCCCACAGTGGAAGGCTGCTTTGGGTTGCTTTACCTTACTGCATGGTCGACCTATATCCTGCGTGGGTTGCCCTAACAATTGTAAATTCTGCTTCCCATAGGGCCATGCACAGTCCTCTGGGGTTGTACTTAGTGTGTCTGTGTTCTGTCCCAGCACTGCCTCACTGTGGGAGGCTTCTGCTTCTTTAGCCAGAGTTACGCTGCACCTGCATTGCGTCTCCAAAACAGAAACCGAACAGAACAGAAAGTTTCACACCTTCACAGAAGGAAATCACCTGACTTCCTAACATAGACCTTTATGATTAATGGAACTCACCTGGTTGAGCCTGGGACCTTGACTAGAAATGTCTTGTTTCGACTAGGACTGGTAAAGAGCATAAAATGTTGAGCATATAAAATACATTTATGGGGGGCTGGGGATTTAGCTCAGCGGCATAAACGCCTGCCTTGCAAGCAGGCAGTCGTGAGCTTGATCCCTGGTACCGATAAAAAGGAAAAAGACAAGAAAAAAAAATTATATTTATGCTATGGATTTTTAATCTTTAGTATTTTTACGACTAGATATGACTGTCATAACAAACCCCTTACGATGTGTTTTCATATGAACAGTCTAGTGCAATGCTCCACGCTACCACTAAGCCCTTTAAAAGGAAAGTTTCAGGAAAAGCAAACAATCTCCGGTTCCCACTAAGCTCTTGCCTAAGCGTCCCAAAGCGCTGTGGCTGCTAGGAGATGCTTTAGCCCCGCCCCTTTCCCCGCCCTCTCCCACTCCCGCGAGCCCTCCGCGCTCTTAATTGGCGAGAGGAGAAAAGACTTCAGCCAATCAACGTTTTACAGGGTCCTCCTGCCGCGCGTCTTTCAAAGGCCTTGTAAGTACCAATGAACGGTTAAAGACCAGGTCAGGGAACCCGGAGGCGGAGTAAGAAACAAGGCAAGGCTCTGATTGGTTCCTAGAAGACGCTGTGAGCATCCGCCCCCAAAGATGTACCAATGAGCTGCGGGGAAAGGTGGGCTCGGGGCCGGACAGCTGCTGAGCAGAGGTCCAGAGGGGAGAGGCCGCACCAGTCCGGGGCGGACGGCGGCCAGCGAGCCAGCGATGAAGCCGGTGAGTCGGGATGGAGGGAGCTGGAAGGAGCGGAACCACCGGAACAGGAGCGGTTCTGGAGTCCGGATCTTGTAGCCCGGTGCTGGTAGCCCGGACCCGGTCGCGACCCGACTCTCGCTGTAACCGTCCTGTGGGTCGGGGAGGCGGCGCTTCCCGCACCGGTGCAGAACGAAACTGAAGCACAGAGGACTTACGTGGGTAGCTGCCAGTGTGATACCCCAGTCCCAAGGGATGTCTGGTGGGGCTGCCCTATGCCCGCCGAAGATGATCGTGTGAGCGAACGGCATCCCACAGCCTCAGGAGAGACACAACTGCCACCACCTCCTACGTCCCACACCCCAGGGTCACGGAGCTCCGCTCCCTCTATCCCTGGGGTTCAGAATCCCGGGGCCTAAGAAAGCAGAAAAATCTAGCCAGATTTGACTCACACAGCTGGCCATGAGAGACTGAGTGTCGGGCCACGCAAGCTTAATATCTTCATAAAAATTCATTTTAGATTCATAAAAATTGCTTTAAAGGAAAAAGATGACCGCAAGCTGCTGAGGCCCCACCTAACTCGGACCAGCTGCTACCTGGGTTGGCAGCCTAATGAAGGCCCTGCGGGAAGATCCAGAGCAGCCCACAACCACACTCTACGTTGACTTTGGCATGTGATCTGCTGGGACAGGCAGGGCACTAGTAGAATATAGTTTCAGAGCTGTCGGGGTTCTAGACGGTGACAATTGCTAATCCCTGTTTCCACTGGGAGTTGTCAGCTGTCCTTCATCCTGGCCTCCTGCTCCACTTGTGCCCAAAAGGGAAGAGCAGTTATCCCATCCCAAGCTGGGGAGGAACTAAGCACAAGCTGCTCAAGCCTTCCTTCCCTTTCTCTTGCTTGGCTCTACCTGCCCACCTCCTGAATGCGCTTTCTGATCACTGTTACCCTGGAGCCCTCGGTGTCCATCGGGGCCTGGGAGTGGGCAGTTCACTCTGTCTAAGTCTGAAGGGAAGAAGTAACACAGTCACTCGGCCATCACTTAAACTACCTCCTCCTCCGTTTCGCGTTCCCAAAGTGAACATTTTGATCTTCCCTTCCAGTTTCTTACTTATCACCAATTGTTCCAACTAGGGAGGCAGAAAAGTGTGTTTTTGTTTTGGTCCTTACATTCCAGTGATAAGCCTTTGTGATTTCCATCCTTCCAGCAATTCGTGAAGGTGGCCACAGACATAGCGGACTGTTGTTTTGTTTTGCTTTTGAGCCACGGGGCAAGTAGAACCTTCACCAGCTTTGCCTCTGGCTCCACCTATACTTTGATCTTACCGTTCCTAAGCTCTTTCTTTTTTTGCCTCAGTTGCATTCACTTCTCCCTCATCTGCCTACAAACCTCCTGCTTTTCCCTCAGAATCCAGTTTAAGCATCTGCACAGCCTTCTGCGATTCCTACCTGGTTGGTCTCTCCTTTCCCTGCTCCACACTGCAAGGTTCCTGCTTCCATTCTTACACTGGCACCTTTCTCCCACACTCAGTGCATGCACTGTCTCCACCACAATGGATCTCTGCATCTTCCCGGCTTGGCAAAGGAAAGCCTGAGAAATGTTGTGAACAGATGATCAAATCTCCTCACTGATATTCAAGGAAAACTGAGATCTAAAGTAGCTCATCTGAGCTGGGCATGGTGGCACGTGCCTGCGATCTTAGCACTCGGGACATGTTGCTGAGGCAGGAGCATCTCTTTGAGTTCCAAGCCAGCCTGGGCTACATAGTGAGACCCTGTCTCCAATAAAATAAAATAACTTATCTGAGGTTATAGAAAGCCAGTCAGAAACCAGAGTTTGTGGTTCCCGGCCCACTTCTCCTTTCACTGTGGATTGGTGCAGTTATTAACTGATGGCCAGTGTGAATCATTTCTTTTTAAAATTGCTAATGTCTCTGAGAAGATTAAATTGATAACTGAATAAATTGCAAATAGGAATTTGGTGGGTGTTTAAGCAAGGATCAACTATGCTAAGAGTATGTGTCAATATCCTTTACAGCTACGTAACATAACTTTTTTTTGAAGTCTATTTCAGTACAGGCAAGTGAGTTTGACTCCTCGGACGAAGAGCCCATTGAAGATGAGCAGACTCCAATTGAGATCTCATGGTGCGTGAGCATTTCTGATCCATTAGCTAAGATACTATTACTATGTCATGATCTCTGCAGACTCCAGAGTGCATACTGAAAATACTAAATGACCTCTTCTGAGTGTATAACTTCCACCTCCTGTATCCCACATCCCTACATCCCCTTCTGAATATATAACTCTAGTCTTTAAGGGACTATCTGTGTATATAAAATAAGGCTTTTTAAAAAATGATAGAAACAAGTTAAGTGAAGAGTAGAGGTAAGATTTTTAAATTATCTCCCACCTAAATCTACTTAGTCTTTTTAAGACAAAAAATAGTGTATCAAGTATAGAATTAAATATATAATCATTTTGTTATTAAATCTTAGATGATGCTTAAAACTATTTGCCACAGTAATGCCTCTATCAGCAGACATTACCACACGTGGGCATGGTGATATACACCTATAACCCCAGAAATCAGGAGGCTGAAGCAGGAGGATCACTGTGAGTTTGAGGCCAGCCTGAACTGCATAGTGAGACCCTATCTCAAAAGCCACATCAATGTAAGAACCAAAAAGTTTCTACATGTTGTTTACATCCAGCAATACCTTTCACTTTCCCCTTTAAGCCTTTTTTTAAACTCAAATGCTCTTCTAATTTCCAGTGTCAGGTAGTGTTTATGTGATGCCTCCTGCTTTCTTCTAAATTGATCTGACAAGAAGATCAAATGAGCCTCTGTCCCTGAGTACTACAAATTGGGGCTGTGATTTCTTGACATTATTTTGTTTTAATCAAAACCTGTTATGACAAGAACCAGGTTGCCTGTGGTTTTCACTGTATTAAATGCTATCTGTTAAGGTATCCTTACCAAAAGAACCTCCAATTAGTAATGCAAATGAGGGCTAGAGATGAAATTGTCAGAGGGTCACATTCCAACTCATTTCCATAAGGTTGAGGGTTCTTTGGCTGAAATTTGACACACTTCAAAACCCAGCATTTTTCAGCATTTACTTGGCATTCAAGAGCTTTGGGGTTTAGAGCACTCAAGATTTCATTCTGGTAAAGTCTATGCAAATATTTCAAAAACAAAAAAACTCAAAAATCTGAAATACATCTGGTCCATAGCATTTTATGTATGGGATACTCAACCTGTAATACAAAACATCTCAGGTAGACATACCACAGGATTGCTCCAGTATACGGTATGTTACCTGTTGTAATCTAGGCATTGGTATCTTTAAGGTAAATTTAAATTAAGTTGCTATGTTTTTTTTTGTTTTTTTTTTTTTTTAGAATTGATGGATTGTTTTTATTTTTTATTTTTTATTTTTTAATTTAAGAGGAAAAAGAGAAAAACACAAAACAAACCAAAGCGGCGTAAGGGTACACGCAATACAGAACTACAAAAAAAAACAAAACAAAACAAAACAAAAAAACATAACAGTAAGAAATCACCTGCTAGTAGATTACACACTATCTTCTTGAAAATAGTTCCTCAAATCACAGTATCAAAGAACACAAGGTGGACATTCAAACAGGGAGACTGCAAACAGCTGTGTTCAATGTTCCAAAAACATTGATAAAGTCAGCTATTTAACACCCCCAAACACACTTGCTGTTATATCCGTTAGAGCTCTTTTTCTTTTTTTTTTTTTTTCCCTCTCTTTTTTACAACAAAATTTACACATCTTGGATTTTATTACTCCTTAGTGCTTATTACTTTCTTTGGGGGGGGGGAGAATACAGTTAAGTTGCTATGTTAACATCTGAATTATAACAAAGTAAGTAAATCGCTGTTTTAAAAACTCTTAGTATTTCTACGCCTTTTTTATGATCCACCTGTTGGTGTAACTATAGATTTTTGTCTTATGGCTTTTGTAAACCTTTAAACACTCCTATTCAGTGGAAAATACTAATGTTGGTTAAGTTGAATTGAATTTCCATTTATGATTTTTTAAGCAACTGAAAAGTAGCCTTGCCAGGCATGGTGACACATGCCTATAATCTCAGCATCAGGGAGGCTGAAGCAGGAGGATCACCATAAGTTTGAGGCCAGCCTGGTCTACAAAGTGAGTTTAAGGCCAGCCTGAACTAGATAGTTAGACCTAGCTTAAAAACTAGTGAGAGAGGAAGAGAGAGAGAGAGAGAAAGTAACCTTGACAAATTTCTCTTTCCAGGCTACCTCTGTCACAAGTGAATTGCTGTCAGTTTCTCGGTTTATGTGCTCTCCCAGGTAGGTCACCCCACAGCCTCCTATTATCCTCCTATTATCCAGTGAGGACAGGTTTGGTCAGCTAACAAATCATACTGCACATGAAAGAAGTCCCTAGACCAGCAGCGGGGAGCTGGCTTTCAGAAGCCTTGTACAGGGACACAGATCTACTTTCCACCCTTCCAACCTGCTTTCAGAGCTCTGTTTCTGGTTTAGCTGTTTCGAGAAAACTTAAACCCTGAGGTACCAGTGATGCGGAAGGCCACAGTCAGATGCATGTGACAGAAACACACAAAGAAGAGTCCGGATGAGCAGTTCCCACAGTGGGGATCTATGGATCCCTATAATCGTGTTCCTAAGAATCTAAGAAATTAAAATCCACATTAAAATGAGGCTGAGGCCAGCTTATAGCTCAGCAGCACAGCACCTGCCTGGCAAACATGAGGTCCTGAGTTCGATCCCCAGTACTAAGATAGTAAATAATTAAATAAAATAAAATAAAGTTGAAACACATAAATGATCATGTGAGTGACTTTCTAAAGTAGCTATCTATGTGTCTAAATATGGCTAAATACTGACTTCTTACTCTGCCTTATCGTTATGCATAGGTTGCAAATTTAAAGATGTTAGAAGAAATATTCAAAAAGATACAGGTAGGTGAAACATGAGACAGCCATACAAATAGTCTTTTGAAAAACACACTGAAATTTCATTGTCACAAGGAACAAACCATAGTCTCTTCTTAATATATAAAGTAAATGTTCATTCTTTTGAGGTTCCAAGCTATAAGCTTATTTCCACATGTAAATAAATATGTGTGAAAGACCCAGAGAACTCATCACTTACTTAAACATGGCTTTGCTTTTCACTAATTATAATATTGAAGTTAGAATGTGTTGGGAGGGGTATGTAAATAAAATGAATTTGCCACTGCCCGGATCTTTGAACATACGTTCCTTGTGGTGTTGACGGTAACCACAGAAATTAAGCCTGGGCTGGGAACCCAGAAGTAGCAGTGAAATTGCCCATGTTGGGTGGAGATTTTAGAGAGCCAGCATCCTGATAGGAAAGGCAGAGTGGTAACCAGCCTTCCATGCCCAGGAGCCTATATACCACTGCTGCCTCAAATTTAATAATTCTTGGCACACAAGTAGCATAATATTACTTACAAGAGTGAATTTTCAAAATATTTTATCCTGGTTGGTCTAGAATATCTCAAGTCTACTAGTCCTGCTCACATATTTATAATTCAGAAAACAGAAATGCGCAATGCTGATTCTTTATTACTTCCCTAGCAACAAAGACTTTAACAAGCTAACAGATGAGTTGACCCTTGCAGTGTATTCATAAAGATTTTTCTGCCTTAGACACACCCACCGTGGTAGGAAATTTCCATTTGGATAACGTTTAAGTCATAAGCAAAATATAATTTCAGTCATTGGTTGAAGACCAGTCTTGGACAGTTTGGAATGCCCTATTTATTTAGTATCTTTCATAGAAGACATTTCCATATTTTCTATGAAAGTTTCTTTGTTGTTTGTTCGTTTGTTCTGTTTTTGTTTTTGAGATAAGGTCTCACTATGTAGTTCGGGCTGACCTCAAACTCACAGCAATTGTCTGCCTCAGCCTTGTTTTGCAATGAAATATTAAATGGAGTACAGTATATAAACAGACAGAAACATCAGCAAGGGAGACATAAACTCTCCCTGCAACAGTTCCTATGGTGTGGCTGAGACACTTTTAGGAACCAGGTGACAACCTGGCTCCACTTTGGATAAGAGAAATCATCCAAAGTGTACCAAGGCAAATAGAAAACTGCCTGCTCTTTTGAAAATGGTTAGGAATCTTAGCAGCACATTAAATTTTCCTTAAACCAAGATATCCTAAATATTATCATTTTAGCAGCTTTTAGTACAAAGCAAATTATTAATGGGATCGTTTGTTTTGCGTGTGTAGTCTTTGAAGTCAGGTATTTGTGGTACACTGTTATCTCTGAGTTTTAGCCAGCTACCTTTCCACCACAGGTCCTGGTGGTCAGCGCCAAGGATGCTTTGCATTTCAGCAGCTAAATGTCCTTGTGTTCGGGGGTGGGGACAGTCTTAGCTCAACCAGAAGGACTTATTTTGAGCCAAATGCTCTTCAAGTACATATTACCCTAATGAAGTCTGAGTATATGCGATCCTTAGAGCAGTGTTGCTCGGTTCCTATCACTATAGTAAAAATAGCAACATAATACAGTCAGTGCTTTATTTTCTAGGGACTTAGTCTAGTCCGTAAAATTCAGTACCCAGTGCTGTGTGGTACAGTGGAGATATAAGGAGATGTAGTGCTCCTAGAAAAACAGCATAATGATGGAGTATACCGGAAAAAGGAAATACGCTACTGTTGATCCTCAGGAGTTTTTTGGGAGGTATAGTTTGGTTTCTGCTTGCTGTAAGATTGGTGGTTGAGGGGCTGGGGATTTAGCTCAGCAGCATAAGCACCTGCCTTGGAAGCAGGCAGTCGTGAGTTCGATCCCCGGTACCGATAAAAAGGAAAAAGACAAAAAAAAAAAAAAAAAGATTGGTGGTTGAACCCATGCCAGGCAAGTGTTTCACCACGGAGCCAAAACCCTAACCCTTTTTATTTTTGAGACTCAATCTCACTGAGTTGCCCAAACTGGCCTCAAACCTGCAGCCTTCCAAATAGCTGGGATTATGGACCACTGCATGCAGCTCAAGGATTCCTTTTATTTTTGAGTAGGTGATATTTTTCAAATTTACTTTAAAGTGATATTTATTGCAAAAGCAATTTTGTTTCTGTTGCAAGAGCAACAGAATTGACTCATTTGAAATTCAGTAGAACGTATTTATTTTGATTTAGAAGTCAATCAGCTTCTGCTGTTACAAATAGGCATTTAAAACCTATGAGTTTTCACTTGTTTTGGGTTTGGTTGCAGAAACTTCATGTTCTCCCTCCCGACCATATTTAACTTTGTCATGTTTTGTGTCTGTGTGTGTCTTGGTTGTTGGCAGAGGAACTAAAAACCTGCGGTATACAAGACATATTTGTTTTCTGCACCAGAGGGGAACTGTCAAAATACAGAGTCCCAAACCTTTTGGACTTCTACCAGCAGTCTGGAATCATAACTCACCATCATCCCATCCCAGACGGAGAGACGCCCGACATAGCCAGCTGCTACACAGTGATGGAGGAGCTCGCGACCTGCCTCAGAAATAACCGGAAAACTCTCATACAGTACGTCCCCCTCACCCACCCACTACGTGAGAAACACCCCAGGCAACACGACTTCTTGAACTGCTTGGTTATTAACATCGTATTTTTGTTGCAAGGATTCAAAGAATATAATGCATGAAAAGTACTAGCCCAGTCATAGCACAGCAAAAGGGCTCAGATATTTACTGTTCCTACTTTTCAAGAATGGGACCATAAATAAGTAGATCTGAAAAATATTTTAGAATACGGTTACAGGGGCTTTTCTTCCTTTAGTGTTGTCTTAGACTTTTTGTTGAATTTTGGGACCTGCCATTGATATTATTCTTGTTGTATAGCAACGTCTCACTTATTGGCTAGCATATGAATCGCTTACTGCATTTGCTTTCAATAGCAAGAAAATTCCTTCCTCCCCCCAAAAAAATTTATAGCAAAAAGAAATTATTCTTAAGCAATGAGCGATCTTAGAAACGATGACTTGGAAATTATATTTGATACGCATGTGCTACCAGAGTGAGACAGGTCTCTTATTGCATAAGATGCTCAGAGGAATTTTGTTTATAATAAAGTAACAGTGTAAGGAACAGGGAAAAAAATCAAAAGAGAAGTAGTTTGGAGAAAAGGTGGAAGAAAGTGACAGTGGACAGGAGAGTCACAATAGGCAGGACAGCCCACGAAGATGAGGACCGCTGCTATAGACCATGAACAGAAGCATGATCTGCAGGGCAGGCAAGTCAGCCATGGTGAGCAAACCCTTCCTCTGCCCAGCTTCTTGTACATTTCTCATCCTAACCAGGCACTGCCCCTTTTCCAGAACAGGTAGGGTGCTAAATAGTTTGCCACCTCAGAAACCCCAAAGGGGTCTCAGGAGGTCACTGCCTTGAGCAAATGGAGCATATGGACTACACCTGCAGCCAAGTCTCCACAGGGTGAATCCTGCCCCCTCTGCCCTCCTCCCTGCAGCCCAGGGACCTCACGCCGACTGTGCCAGTTTTAAAGGCAAACCCACTAGCATAAGAGTCTTGGGCCACAGGACACCTGTTTGTGACCAACTTCAGCTCCCATAGACAAGAACCGTAGCTTCCAGGATTGTCGAGAGAGCAGTAGAAAGTGTCCAGAGTGACTCCTGTTGATAAGGATGAATTTTCGGTCCATTCTCCTGCCTTTCACTGCCCACACTACTAGAAAGCTGTAAGCCTATCCCTCAGCAAGGAGGTCCACTAAGTCTTTTCACTGTCCTGTCCTGTGCCGGTGCTGCCTGGACATTTTCACCCTTTATGAATCAGTGGTGCCCTGCTGTATTGCACTGTTTCCTTGGGCTACTGCCACACAGTGCCACAAGCTGGTACCTTACAACATGGAAACGCCCTTCTTCCCTGTCCTGGAGCCAGAAGTCCACAATCAAGGTGTTAACAAAGCCGCACTCTCTCTAAACCCCCAAATTTCCCTTGCCTCCTCCTTGTCTCTGCGGGTGGCCAGCAATCCTCAGCACCCCTTGGCTTGTGGCCATCTCACTCTACTTCCTGCCTGTCATTGTCACATGGTTTCCTGTGGTCCTGTGTCTTGTGGAGTTTTCCTCCTCTGAAGATACTAGCTGTATCGGATTAGTGCCCCATAACCCTACCTCAACATGCTCATACTTGCAAAGATCCTATTTCCAAATAAGATCATATTCAGGAAGGGATAAGGGCTTTAGCTTCTCTTTTTGAGGGACATAATTCAACCCATATCACCCACTCATACCAAACAGAGACTCCAAGTGAGGCATGGTCCCCACTCTTGGGGAACGCACTGCTAAGGTTACAACACGGAAATGCAGGAAGATCAAAGAATCCCTCCTGCAGGTACACAGAGACAATTCAAAAATAAGCTGAGCTGGGTTTTGAATGATGAGTAGGAGATCATCAAACAGAAGATGAAAGTACCTCTAAGTGTATAGTAGTATTAATCTTGCAAAAAGTTGCTAAAATGATCTCTCTGTGTCTGTGTATATATGGTAGAACCAGATTTCTCTGGAACAGACTTATTCCTGGGCTGCTCTTTGTAGAAACCAAGTTCACGTGTAACTATAGGGGTCACAATCCTACAGTAGGATAAGTACCTGGCTTTATCTACCATGTACTGTGCTTTATCTATCACAACTACAGTATTTGATGATAAGTCATCGATTCATTCACCTTCTAAACAAATTAGAAGGTGTATAATTTGGTTTTTAGGATCTTTGAAAGTGACAAAATATAGTTTTGCAGCTTTGAGGTTGATCTTCCTTTTTTTGGAGAATCTGTTTCCAAACTGCTTTCTTCACAACTTTAGATAATAGTAACTAACATTCACTTACTCTGTGCCCTTTACAGATACTACCTCATTCAGCCTCACCAATATAGGCATTAATACTATCACCATTTCATAGGTAAAAGAGGTCCAGCAAGCTTGGAGATCTTGCTTCGCTCCCACATCCAGCAAAGGACGGAGCTAGGAGTCAAGCCCCTGCTTTACACCTCTAAGACCTGCTGTAGGAGATGAATAAAGGGTTATTGCATGGATAGATTTGTCCTGTAAGCACCAGATTTTTTCTAAAAGAGGAAAAGAATCAACATGGCAGTTAGTAAAAAGCCTGACTCTATCTATTTAGTAACATGCTGCCTTTCTGAGACACAGACCTTGGGGTCTAAAGAAATCTGTAAAAAGGCGCTGTCCCCCTTGACCCTCCCAGATGCTCACAATACTTCAGGTAAAGAGGCACAGCTTGCTTTCGGCTGATTAAATCAATGAATTGGTGCTGTGCAGAGCACAAGAGCTATAAATGGTAGGCAGAACAAATAGTCTGTACTTGTAAGTTGGGATGGAATAAAAACATGCAAACTTCAAAACTGTATTTCCCTTTCAGCTGTTATGGAGGACTTGGGAGATCCTGTCTTGGTAAGAAATATATTTTTATTATTAATTCTTTTTTAACTTCAAAATAGCCAAACTCCTTTTTATGGGCCATATATTCACTTTTATAAAATGAGACAAAACACTGTATAAGTTTCCAGGACACAAAGCACTCAGGACACCTGCGTGTTCCCTAGAAAGTGTGGGTGAACATGAAGGTATCTGCAGCTGTTTAGAGGACTCTGCAGGTCATTTACAAGTCTTAGCGCCTGCAGTCTTATTTTGCTAATGTTCTGCCTGCACAAGCATTACACTAGGCATAACTTCTAAATAGGCAGCATAAATATATATACCAAAGTAAGTTAATTATTGTATATTACTTTTTAAAATGTAAATGTGTTGGGGGAAAAAAGTTCATGCAAACTCTCACTAGAGTAATATTAATTTTTTTTAGTGTTGAACAGCATCAATTTAGCAATCCTTTGTGTTTCTAAGGACACTATTAAAATTAAAGACAACCTATTGGAAAAAATATTTCCAAACTAAATTCAATGAAGAACTTGTATCCAGAATATACTCTTACAACAATATAAAAGCACAATCAATTTAAAAACTGGGAAAATAAACATTTCTCCCACAAAATATACAAGTGGCCAGTAAGAACCTGACAAGGATGGTCACCATCATTAGTCATCAGGGAAATGCAAATCAGAGCCACCACGAATACCACTTGACACCCACTCAGGATGGTTATGACTAAAAACAAAACTGAAAAGTTACAAGTATCAGCGAGGCTGCCCTGAAATTAGAGTCCTCAAACACTGCTGGCGGAAGCGTAAAATGGTGCAGCTGTCTCGGGAAATAGTACGCTCCTGAGGTGAACCAGGGTTACATCACTCAGCAATTCCACTCCTAGGTGTATACACAAGAGAAATAAAACAGATCACACGAACACGTGAATCTGAGTGTATTTACGGCAGCCATGAATCACAGCAGCCTCCGAGTGGAAAAGGTCTCAAGACCCACCAGCTGATGAATGGGTGAGCCCAGCATGGTAGTGCTATTCCACACAATGGAACAGTAGTTAGCCACAAAAAGGAATAAATGGATACATGCATGCTACAATATGAACCTTGAACATGTAAGAGAAGTCACAAGAGACCACATATTTTATGATCCCATTGATGGGAAATGTCTAGAATATGCAAATCCACCAAGACATAAAAAGTACATCAGTGGTCACTTAGAGGAGGAATTATGGGGGTCATAGGAGACAGCAAAGGACACAGGGCTTTCTTTTGGACAAAAAGGTTCTAAAACTGACCACGATGGTTGTACCTATCTGTGGATACACTAAAATTGACTGAATAGTATAAATGAATAAATAAAAATTTTAAAAAGTAAATAGATGAATTATATAGTATGAGTTACTTCTATCCCAAAAAAGAAAGAAAAATAGACAGAATGAAGCATGTTAAATTTTCATTCCAACCCCACAGTCATTTCGGATCATGTAACTGTCCAAAGCGCACACTAAAAAGGTCCTAATCTTTTCATTCATTTGGAACAATTACAACACATTGTGTCCTTGGCACCAAGTCAAATTAAACATCAAATGTCCTGCCTGCTCAATAGTTTTTATTTTTCCTTATGTTCTCTTAGTAGCTGCTTGTCTCCTCCTATACCTGTCTGACACGGTCTCACCACAGCAAGCCATAGACACCCTGCGAGATGTAAGAGGGTCCGGGGCCATCCAGACCATAAAGGTAAGGAGCCCCAGCATTCCTGGGGGTCGTGGTTAGGAGCACAACCAAAAGAGCATTCGGATGAAAGGCCAGAGCACGCTATTATTCAAGCGCACCTGTTCATTTTTATTCACATTTAGTTCACACACCTTGCATCTGCAAAACACAATGGTATTTTTAAACAAAATAATACAAACATATCAACTTTCTACTTCACTCTCCCAAGACTTACTACTGCCTAGTTTTTGTTAATTTCTTGGATAGATTTTTTGGCCAAAAACATCTAAAGAAGATTCTTTGAAATATGGAAAAAAGGTAGATTAAAGCAGTGCTAATTGTCTTTTGCTGTAGCTAACTGATCACCTTCCACATTTACCCTCTCTTTAACACTTTAAAAATGTTACAGCAGCAGTATGAAAACATGGAATAGGGGCTGGGGATTTAGCTCAGCGGCATAAGCGCCTGCCTTGCAAGCAGGCAGTCATGAGTTCGATCCCCAGTACCAGTAAAAAGGAAAAAGACAAAAAAAGAAAACATGGAATAGACTGTAATTTCACTGTATTTGTGGATCTTTGACAAGATCTTGCCTTCTTTTCCCCAAGCACCCTGTCTCAGCTTTAAGATAAGCCCCTTGAGGAATAGAACGCTAAAGAATCCTGACCTTTAGGCAGCTTGGTGGGCTTTGGTACATCTTCCCAAGGGCCAGGGGCCTAAACCAGTGTCATGAGCAGCAGATTACAAAACAATACAGGATCCACATCACTGCACCAGATCTGACTATGTCCACATCAAACGATGCTTCACATTCAGGAAGTTTGAGTTTTCTTCTCTTTGACAGAAAACCAAACACATGGTCAAACAGAAGTACTAATCTGGCTGTGTTCTTCATTCTTAATCCTGGAAAGATGAAGCCCACACTAGGGTGAGTGGTCAGCTCATCACCCCAATATCCTGTGGGAGGCAGGCTGCAGCATCTGTGTTAATTCAAGTTTCAGTGTCTCAAGAATGGTAGGAAATGAGATGATAGGCAAAGTGAAAATATCCTCTAGGAAATTTTTTAAAACTCCAAGTAAAACTTTTTATTCTGCTGAAGATTTTTTAAGAAAATCATTTCAAATAGACTATGTCATCACAAAAAGCAGCATAGGGCTCCTATAAATAAGATTTTCTTCACTTGTGTCACTGTTAATTGCTGCACAAAGTGCTCTTTGCCCCACCTGTACTTATTCTGTAGAGAAAAATACTAGCAAAATTAATGTCCTTATTTACTGTTTGCTATCCTATTTAATCCTGCCAGAAAAGAAGAAGGGATCCCCTGGGTTCATAAAACATGCATTTGTATCTCATTACATTCAGATTTTTAGCTGTTTTTAAACTAATAGCTTTTCATTCTGTACGCCCTTTATTGCCAGGTTAAACTTTCCCAGGTTGCAAATGAGTCCTCACCCAAGATGAATTGTTCTTAGCAAATATATCTTTGATTCCTGATTCCTGCTGTTGTGTCTGCTCTAGAAACTTTTTTTGTTTCCACCTAGAAATTACTGATCTATTTGAACTTCTGTAAAGACTGTTTTTTAGGATGACACACAGTGTTTGTAGTTCAGAAGGTTAAAGAAACTGGGTTTTGTTTAACAGTGCCTGATTTCCACTACATAAAACCTGGTCTCGAGTCCCACTATCCAATGCCTGTTTTACGTTGTCTTGCTTCAGTTACCACATGAAGTGACTACATTATAAAAGGCCTCTAGGTCACTGTTCAAATGTAACAGCAGATTTCAGTACTGTTCTAGAAGCAAGGGAACTTTCTCTAAAGACTTGCGGGTTGATAAATCTGATTTTCCCAGCATTTTCCACAAAAGAACAGCAGATAAGTCCAAATATTTGTTCAGAAATGCTCAAATAAGTGTTCCCTCATTGGAACCAATCATAACCAATCCATGGGAGAAGAAACACATTTTAGTCCATGAGAATCTAAGTTGGGGCTGAGAAAAACAAATTCTTCTTTCACTAGTGACAATAAGCAAAGGCTCACAATTTCTGCTCCATGGTAGTTGCGTTTTGTTCTGCTGCGTTGTAATAAAACCTAAGCTTGACATCATGCCAAGAGTGCAGTGGCCCCATTCATCTTGAGGAGGTCTCATTAAAAGATCCTAAGTGAGATGTTCAAAGAGCCAGTGACAAAATTCTTTTCAGCTTTTTAAAAAATCACCTTTTTCCTGTTGAAAGAGTTGGAAGTTCTCTTGCTTTCTAAGTGGCTCTGATGTTTCCTTGGATTTGAGCTTTGCTAAAATTTCCCAGTAATCTTTTGCATGCTGAATAAGATTGTGCTTTCTCAGTAGCAGGAGGTATAACAATCCTATGTGGCTAAGTAATTAAATATGACTCCTCGGTGGACATTTTTATGCCTCAGAAGTTCTGTACTTGGTACACTAGTATCATACAAATAGCATCTTGGCAGTCCTCAGGCTGCACCAAGCATTGGACAGTGTCGGACAGGGCCTTGACCTGGTAGCCGTCCAGTAGGCCAAGCATGTTACAGCTGCCTTCCATGGCTGACTAGACCCAACATCTTAATCCCGTGGGAACGGGGAGAGGTCCCCACCAATAAAGTTGCCGGGCCCATGCCTTGGCAACAGACACCGGAAGTACTTTTCCAATCCTTCACGGTCGAAGGGTCTCAAGTCGACGGAAGTGATCACCAGAGTCACTTCCGGGGTCAATGAGGAAAGGCTGTGCTGCAGACTTGTGGTTCCGGGCTGTCTTGGAGTAAAGTTCCGCATTTACATGGAGAACATCCGTCTTCTACAGAAAGCTACTTGCAAAAAGAATTAATGAACTCTCCAGGAGTCCCACCCTCCTCCTCCCTTCCCCATCCTCCTCCAAACTGCATTCTCGAGGGGTGTGCGGTTGCAGGTCTAGAAACTTACCTTTCAATATATCTTTCCTTTTTTTCAGCAATATAATTATCTTCATGAGTTCCGGGACAAACTAGATGCTTATCTGTCATCAAGAGATTCACTATCAAGATCTGTATCGAGATGAATTTCAAATCGCATATTATGACCATGTCTGAAATGTATGAGTTCTCTGGCATAATTTGTACTTAAACAAAGCTGCTAGTGTTGTCAGCTTGAATGTATGCATGCAGCTATTTTAAAGCTTTTTATTGACAAAATTGTGTGTCTTTCATCTCATGGCAGAGGGACAGAAAAAATTAGTAGAGCTCTCCTTTTAAAAAATGCCTGGTTCTGGTACATTTAACCTAGACTTTATGCTGGGAAACAGTAAGAAAAAAGCACTAGCAAATCTTAACCATTTCCCACTTTGCCTCAGGTTACCATTGGAAACTAGGCGCTGGAGTAGGAGCTAGTAAGAAGTATGAAGCTAGTATGAGGACTTACCCCACACTTACTTTGAAATAACTTTCCCCCCCTTCTGTTCCTTTTGTTTCCTCAACTTTCAGAATTGTAAAGATCCTCTCTCTCCCAACAGGCCCCAGGAGGTGTTTCCCCAGCACTTACTGGAACTTCTTCAAAAACAAGGAATTCATTGGTCCACACAGTGGCTCCAGTTTTAGGACATTAACTTCCTACCCTAAAAACCACCCAGAAGGAACTGAATCCTTCTTTCACACTGATTATATAAAGTACTTAGCTGCAGGTTAACTTCCAGTTTTACTCCTTCACCTCACCCTGCACTATTGAAATTGTCTCTAAATTCGGCTTTGTGTGCTACCCACAGAAGTCCTTGTTTACATTTGGGCTGTAAACAAGGATTGTATGAGCCAAAGCCACCTTTTTGCAACAGACAGCAGTGGTTTCGGGACCACACACTGCAGTCTCATGGCTCTCTTGGCAACCAGTGGTCACTTGGCTCCTACCACCACTCTGCAGGTCACAGGCACTTGCACAAAAGACTAAGACACCACATCAAAACTTGAGTTTTTAAAAACTCCTATAATGACTAAAACTCTTCTGGCTGCTGCTAAACTACTTGAATTTAATGAGGGAATGTCCCAAAAACAGTCGCTAGTGTTGTGTTCAGATTAGCGGGATGTTCTGCAGTATAAAATCAGTATTGTAATACTGTGGGGTATGCTCTGCTTCTAGAATTTAAGATTTTATAAAAGCACTAAGCAAGATGGGGGCATCACGCATCCAATGTTTAACCTAGGGATTTATCTCAGATAATAAATGCCAAAAATTATAGCTAAAGGGTTTTGTGTTTTGGAAGTATAGGCTACAATAATGGATTGGCCTTCATGATTTTGGTGCAACCAAATACAACTGAAAATCACATTAAATGCGAGATAGTCATTGAAACTGACATTAGCAAAACTTACATTATTAGCTTGCTCCCAATATAAACAGAGTATTCATGAATACTTTGGAGGGAAAATATTGGTATAATCAATTTTTTACTAATTGAATTTTCAAAGTGATGCATCTCTCAATTGCCACTGCCAAATGCTAATAAGCCTTTTCACTGGAAAGGCTTGACTAAATTATTTTAATATCAAGTATATTGGAAAACATCAATTATTCTAAGCCAGAAAAATGTGTCACTATTGAAATATAACAGCCCAATTAAGCTTAATAACGTGTAATCCCAATTTTCTAGGAGAAACCTTTTCTCTGCCTGAACTGTGTGATATCCACCAAAATAGTGGGGTCAAGCATGTAAAATTCTGCTCATTAACACATTCAATCATTACTCATAAACTACACAAGTAAATATTTGAGGCCGTTTTATTAAATATACAAAAGCAAAATAAGCAAGCTGTAAGGAGTAAAGTAGGCTACTTAAAGGTATTTTCTTTGGACAGTGATACAGCACCATCAAGCTTAGATTTTAACAAATCAAGAGTTATAGCTACTAGCTACATTTTATGTTTCTCTTAGTAGCTTTAGGCTTTACCTAATCATCAAACCATTAAATTTATATGCTCCAGAATACATAAATGTGACAAAGAAATGCGAGTATTTAGAAAAAGCACTGTACAATAAAATTAATGTACATGAGAAGCATTTCATTCTTTTGCATGTCAAGATGGTCTCTACATCTTTTGCCACATGCATTGGTAAACTCAATGCAGAACCAAACCCTCACTCCAATTCTACTCATCAGTCATTTTAAATGGTAAAACTATTTTCTACAATAAGCAGAACAAATGGCAGCTTCTTTGAGACACTTAATTTTAGAGCTCTGAATTTTTTTTTTTTTTTTTGGTACTGAGGATCGAATTCACGACTGTGTGCACTTGCAAGGCAGGCACTTATGCTGCTGAGCTAAATCCCAGCCCCAGAGCTCTGAATTTTAATCAAAGGAAAATTGTTGTAAGAAAGCCAGTCAACATATTCAGAAACAGAACCACTCTGGAACAATGGTGGACAGCCACCTTGCAAACTGTGTTACTATACCAGAGACTTATTAGCTAGTGGTCTGACTGCAGATCAGCGACGGCTGCAGAAAATAGCTTGAAATTGCTTGAGATTAACGTTAGTAGTTTCCAAAAAGTGTGAACATGAGTGCTTTTGTGAGCAGTACTAGACAAGATCATCAATCTTGGGTGGGGAGGGTATGGGGTTGAGGCAGGGTCTCACTATGTAGCTCAGGCTGGGCTCGAACTCACAGGGATTCTCCTGCCCCTGCTTGTATTTTTCTTCCCCTTCTAAAGTGAGCATTGTTTTTAGAGTATTTTTCATCAAAATTTTTGATTTACGAGCTGGGTATCTAGCTCATCAGCGCAAGTGCCTGCCTACCAAGCACTAGGCTGTGAGTTTGATCCCTGGTACCGGAAAAAAAAAAAAAAAGTTTGGTTGACAATTATACAACAGATTACTGAGAGCTGAGAGATGCACATTTGTGGATGTTAGGTGCTATTCATCATTTAGTACAGATCATTATGTGGGCTAGATACAGCAGATTGCTATGATATCTCCATACCTAAAGTGCAAGCTCGCCCCAGAGGGTAGAAAGATAAGTTGTCAGTTGCTGTGACAATACTCTCTGAACCCTATGGAGACGAAGTGGTAGATAAAGGGAAGTGTTTTGCCAGTTTCAAAGCACACCTTTCTCTACTTCCTCTTATGTAATTAATGACCTTTGAAATATACTGACTTGGGAAGCCAAGAGCCCAGTGTCAGCTCTTAGCATGTGTGGAGCTCAAGCTGAGAAACACTACACAGGCTTTCAGAAAGTCAAGGGCCATCAACACCACGTGCTGTGTATGGCCTAGAGAACAATCACTATCCGGGTATCTGAACCTGACTACAGGTCTCCAAGTGCATGGTTTAATAGGTGAAGCTTCACCAATGCTTTACTGATAGACAAACTATGTCAAAAGGTTATCTGGGCACCTCCTCTACTTTATGTTCAAACCAGACTTTAAACAAATTAGCAGTTTATCTGTACCTGGAGATCAAGCGCCCCTCTAGTCCGGAGGAGTGTCAAAGCATTGTGACAGTCATCAATAACATTAACATACGGGTATTAACAGTTTCTAAGGCTACATACTCAGAACAGGACCTATTCCCCTGACACAGTATTACTCCACAGAGCAACTGCTACAGACTACATGTATTATACAAGAGAATCTGTAAGATCCAAAGCAACAAAGAGTTGTCGGTTATGATATAGCCAGAGCATGACACTAGGTGCAGGCAGACGGGCACAAATAAGGGAGATGGTTTCTGAGAGCGGGAGAGCTCAAATGAAATGCAGCGCTAACATCAAAAGTCATTGTAACACAGAGTTGCTTACACAACACGTCGCTGCACCCTGAGCACCTACATAGGCTGCGAAATATTAGACACCCAGGGTAACTACACCTCAGCTGAACCCACGTGGCTAACAGAAGGCAGATCAGCACCATCCCAGATTTGTGTGAGAAGCAAATTAAATTCAGGGCAAAGAAAAGTACCAGTGGGGCTGGGGATTTAGCTCAGCAGCATAAGCGCCTGCCTTGTAAGCAGGCAGTTGTGAGTTCAATCCCTGGTACCGATAAAAAGGAAAAAGACAAAAAGAAAAGTACCAGTGAGAGCTGGGGTGCAGCTCAGCTGTGCAGTGCCTGCCTGGGAAGAACAAGGTCCTGAGTTCAATTCCCAGTAACCCTCCCACAAAAGACCCAGTGAGACATGACTGGATGCAAATATTTTGTTTCTGTTTTCTTCTGGTAAGTGGTCTAGTAACACACTGAAAAGCAAGAGTGGGCATACACAGTATGAGTGCATCCGGGTGTGCAAATCTGCAGCCTATCAGTGAGACGGTGAACCTGTCAGGGATCGCTGAGGGATCAGCTAGGGATTAACTTCAGGAGTGCTAGGACATGGCTTCAAACCACTAAACTTTGGATTAGTCCTGAGGAAGATTCTACAATAGACGAAAAGAACATGCTGACTTACCACAGCACACTAGCATTTGCTATAGGGCTAGTGTTCGTGAAAATGCTCCGACAGATTATTAAAGTAACACTGCCAGGAAACGGTCTCTCGGGACTACAATTACCTGACAGTGGGAAAGGAAATGGAAGCGGCAGAAATTAAAGAGTGAGACAGATTGGAACTGAGGGAATTCAAAGTGTGATCTTCAAGCCTAGCAAGTGCTCAATAAAAAACTGACCGCACAGCCTAAGGAAGGCTCAGCTTCCTCACGTTCTCCAGACTCTAAAGGACAAAGTCTCAATCTCCTTGACGGAAATGGTTGGACTCTGCTCCCTCTTTAGGCTCGACACTCTCTTCTTCAATTTACTCACCCCAATCACCTAGCCCCAGAGCAGGAACAGTTAATTCCCCAAGTGGGAAGGGGGAGTCCAATTTCAAAGCATTTTTTCACTTACAAAGAATAAAATAACAACTATGATTCTTAGGAGACGACTTCCACAAGCACGTCCACATCCGTCAATCCCTTGGTCATTTTGGGAACTTTCAAACATTTTCCTTCTTTGATCCTTTGCTTAAGAAACTTCTGAACCACTGTGCTACTGTCAATGGTCTTGACTGCCTCACCCCTGATGAAGCACAGCAGGCCTAGCATGAGATGCCTGCTTCACAAGCAGGCACACAAACTGAAATTTACATGTCACTGCCTTAAAACCAGTTGTCAAAGAGGAAAACAAAACTTCCAACATTTTATGTGCCACTGTTTTAACTGTTAAGAAAATAATGATGCTGTGCTTCTCAAATGATAAGGGGTAAGGTGCCTGGCATTTAAAATTCCTGTTTAGATTTGGGCATGATAAAACCACGATGTAATAATTCTCTTTAAAAATAAAACCATTCAGTACCATGTCTTTATTGGGGTTAGGCAAGTGTGAGAAATAGCTACATGTGATCTTTAAGACAATGCAAAATGAGTCTTAATTTCAGTTTTATTGTATTGCACTAAAGGAACAGCAGGATGGTTATACAATTTTCTCTCTCATTCAGTTTTGAAAATCTAAAAGTACTTGCAAATTCTTAAGAATACCTTTTCCACCAGATTAGAACAGTAAGCATAAAATAACCAGATTCCTAATAAGTAATGTCTTACAAATGAAAACACATTTAAAATAGCTTTAAATGCATTCTTCGCAAGTTGGCTTATATTTTTATATCATGTTCGCTTATGCTTAAGAATTAAAGCAAGTATATTACTCTGATGGAAACAAGGGAAATTTCTCATTCATGCACTATACAGGGATAATATTCAAGTCGCAGGGGGAAAATGACCACTCTGCTTGTTTTTGTAAATGTGTCCAGGTACAATCATCTACATGATAAAGGAGGAAACCTAGCAAGTTTCCTACGAGTCAGATACACATTATCACTTCATCAGAAGCACCTGATTATCTACAGCTAATTTATAGTAAGATAGCATTTCAATAACCCAAAATGAGCCTTCCCTATAGGTTCCTACAAATAAAAGCTTCCATGGACTGAGGACGGTCAGTTATTAATGCGCTCGTTCAAAGGATTATGGCTGTTCCTTAAGGAGTGCAAGGTCCACCTGTTAACACCAGAGGTAATCATTTCATATTCATTTATACGTAATTCCACTTCAATTCTTTATCCAAGTATAACATATGAAAACAGTTCTTTCCACAACAAAAAATGTGGAAACATTTAAAAAATAAGGAGTCATTTTTTAAAGTAACTGATCAGATTCCACAGGCTACTCTTGGAAACAGGCTCTTGCTCGATAGAATCCCTTCATGTGGTAGCTTCAGCATGCACTTAACCAGACCAACTCTTCGGTGTATTGTTCTAAGAGCTCACCAAGACATAGATCATGCTGCAAAGAAGAGAGAAGCCGTTAGCTTAAACATTTTTCATCAACGAAACTAAAAAGCACAAGACAGCTGTGGCTGCTCAGTACAGCCGACAAGCGCATGGCACTGCACATCACAGGAAATCAAGTCCAACAAGTTCCCGCGGTGATTTTAATTTGCACTTGGGGAGTGGTGCTGAACAGAGTGCTTGGCTCCCTGCATGTGCTGGTGTTCTCCCCTACTTCCCTTCCAATTTTAGCAAGCAGAACAGCACAGCTGAAGCTTAATGGGGAGCAGAGCTTGGCAAGCAACCCAAGACACCACTCTGGAGCTGTGTCTAATGATAAGCAGGAGCGTCTCTGGCGCCAGGCTTGTCACGTACATCTCACTAAACCCTCAAGCAGTCCAAGGAGGCAAGTACTGAACCATTCTCATTTTACAGAAGACCCTGGTCACTGCTTAGCGGCAATGGCAAACCCCTAGAGCTTACGATGAGACAAACCACCCTCTGCAGCATGTGGGCCACAGGTTTGCCACGGCTGGCTTTAGAGCCTTTTACTTAGGGAAAGCCAAGAAACAGCCAGAAACACAAAGGGTACAAGGGCCATAGCAAACATTTAAACTTCTCCAGCACCAATGGCAATTCTTCATCAAGAGTGATGTGGGAAAGGCATGGGGCACAAGGCATGGTTCAAAAAGCTGCCTGACACTTCAAATCAGAATCAGCGTCCCAATGCTACAACATCCTGGTGACCATTTCCCCCAACTACATCTCCAGCTTTTTCGTTTATTCAGTCGTTTCTCCTTTCTTTCAACAAGTATGTTTGAAGTACCTGCTAATGCTAGCAGCGTTCCAGGCTTAAATAAACAGTAATAGGAAAGCAAAATGGCATTGTGGAATTTCAGTGCTCAGAGCCTATGCACCACCTCTGCTTCATACCTGAGCAACCTCTGAAGGTGCAGCAGTTATACCCTAATGCCCCAGAACACCTTCTTCCTAAGTTTCAGTCTATTGCTCCTCTACAATGGAAACAGGTGATTATATAGAAAGACATATAAATGTAAGCCTCTCATTTAACACTTAGCAATTTTTCAAGTAACAAAAAGGAGAAGGAATGGGAATGATTCCAACAATTTCATCTACTATCTCTTTTTCCTCTGTTTTTGGTAATGAGGACTGAATTCTCTGCACTGATCTCTAACCCCAACACCACTCCCCTCTGAGACAACGTCTCCCTAAGACATTAAGTTGCTCAAGCTGGCAGTCCTCCTGCCTCAGCCTCCCAGAATACTGGTGTTACAAGCATGTACCACCACATCCAGGTCTTATACATGATATTTACAAAATTTTTGAAAATCAGGTGGAAAGGGCTCCAGCACAATTATATAGCTTAAACAAAAACTCTTAATTCCACACCTAACAATGTCCTTTGCCAGTTTTTTCTTTTTTTGTTTTGTCTTCTTGAGACAAAACAAAAGGGTCTCACTATGCAATTCAGGCTGGCTTTGAGCTCACTTTGTAGCCCAAGCTGGTCTTGAACTTGCATCGATCCTCCTGCCTCAGTCTCCCGAGTGCTGGGATTACAGATGTGCGCCACCATACCCAGCTTCCTTTGCCAGTTAAGCAATCACTGATTGTGCTTACAGTATACCCAGAACACTAGTTCTCGCTAAGGCAATTCAGCCCAGGCGTGTCTAGGAAGACACTTCTGGTAGCCAGGACTCAGGGAGAAGGGTCCCACTGGCCCCTTGTGGAAAGGTCAGGGAGCTGCTAAACCTCCTATAACCCCCTCGACAGCCCCTACAATACAGAGCTATGCAGCCCGATGTCACCAACGCAAACATGACTGAGAAGCCCAGACCTACAGGGACAATGACATGAGTGTCCCACACTAGGACAGGAGAAAAGGACCACAGCTGCAACCCTCTGCCACACACAGGCTCTCCTTCATTCATCCCACTCAGACCAAGCAAAGCAGAAGGCAAAAAACTTATGAAAGAAAAATACGAAGGAAAAAAATCAGACACTGTCTCTAGAGAGACACTGAAGCCAAGCAGGAAACGCCTCTACTACACAAAACTTCAAAGCAGTGTCTCTGGCTAAGCTTCCACCCAGTGCGTGCCAGGACTGCTACCTCCACAGGGGCCAGGTCTCCTGGAACATGTGGGCACCTGCTGGGCTGCATGGTGCCCTCCCCAGGTGCCGTGACAACACCGAGTTAGTCTTCAGGTGCATGCAAAGGTACTAATTAAGACTATGACGTGTGACAATTTCCTAGGCAACAAAGTGAAATCATGTTTTCATTTCACTTTTTAAACTTACCCATATAGGTAGTAAAAAAATGCTAGGAGGTAAAAAGCTAGCTTGCACCATCCTTCTTTCTGACAGTATGCCAGTATGTCTGCGTTCATGATGGTCGTGGGGTCGTAGAGGCCAGGTCCGCTCATCACCGGTCTACTCATGTACCTGCAACACACACAACCTGTTAGCCACTCGGACGGGCGGCAAAGCTCCAAACCTGTGGGCAGAGAAGGCTCTCCCCGTATAGCCAAGTCGGGGACAGGCGGCCAGGTAGGAATGTGCATCCTCACTGACAGGTGGAATGCTTTCCTTTCATTGTCTCTTAAAACTAAAACTCCTTCAGGGGCTAAACGGGCCACCAGCCAAACCACATCTGCTGTCTGCTTTTCAGAAACCTCTCCCAAAATAAGGGTGACTGTGAAAAGGTCCTCAGTTTTCTCTTGTAACTTTCTAATCCCCACATCACGTTAGCCTCGGAGCAAAGATGCCAGAACTCTCCACCCACTGAATGCAAATGGTCAACAACCCTTGCTTTCTTGTCTTCTAACCTCCAGGAGTACATTTGTTTTCTAAACTATTTCAGGGACATGATTCACTTTATTCCTAAATACTGTTTTAGCTTAGATTTCCTAAAATGGAGAGCTATGTGGTTTTGATATTTTTTTTTTTTTTTAAGACACAGGCTCCCATGTAACCCAGGCTAGCCTCAAACTCACAGCGATCCTCCTGCCCCAGTCTCCCAAGTGCTGGGATTACAGGCGTGCACCACCACACCTGACAGATAGGCCTTTTTGAATTAAAACAAACCAAAAAAAAAAAAAAAAACCTTACACAGGGCAGACAGAATTACGCAAAGTTGTAAGACATGTTACTGTCTATGCACAACCCAATGTTTTCAAAGTCACACAGTAATATGTTTTGACATATGTGAAATTCAAAGACAGCAAAGCCAATCCAAGTTGCTAGAGGTGAGCTCTTAACCGTATGGGAGAAACCCCTGGGGAAAGGCCTGGGGGCCTCAGAGGCTGGACCTGCTATGGCCTGATCTGTGTGGCTCACCAGTGCACACATGCATATAAATGGAATTCAGTTAAACGTTTAAGACTTGTGCCTGCTATTATATGTAAGTCACCTCTCCACTTTTGAAAAGTCACTTTAAAAAGAAATGTAGAAAAATCCGTAAAACATACAGAAATGATTTGTTCAACTACTTGGTCTTTTAAAAATGCTGTCATAGTTTGAATCTTCACACAGGTGAACAGCAAGTAAAATGACCATGCTGACCACAACGTCACTCAAATTGCACTAGAGAGGGGAATCTCCAAGTATTACCTCCAAATATGGTACGCCAAGAGGGGCATATTGAGGCCCAGCGTGAGCCACTCTGCCGCGCAGAGAAACATGACGCAGAAGAAAGCATGGATGAGGTACTCAGGGAGGACCAGCTGGAAGGGAAGCACGAGGCGGTTAGCAGGGCCGCGCCAGGAAGGAAGTCAGCGCCGCAATGGAGAGCGGGGACAACCACGGTCCCACAGTGTAAAAACGACTTTTTTTTTTTTTTAAATTACTCTTTTCTTAGAATCATCAGTGAAAAGTGCTACTGAGTTTTACTTCATGTTTAGTTTTTTCCCAAAAGGAAGATAAAGAGCACACTGATCAGGACTTGCACTGAGAGAACTTAAAATATAAAGCTCAAATTCATAGAGCAATGGGTAAATCACACAAGTTACCAAACCTAGACTTTTCAGTTGTTTGCGAATCGACTGGAATATTTTTTATTTTCATCGTTTGACAATGATAAAAATACAAAAATGAAGTATCTGATCACATGCAACATAATTTAAAAAAATTCACAAAAACACAACTCCCCTTTAGGAGTTTACACATTAGTGTTTTCAAGCCTTTAGCAAATACCAGGAATGCTACATATACGATACTTAGCAAACCACACCACATTACCACAAAACTTAATTTTTCAATGGAAAGCCAACCAGCCATACTCAGCACAGAGAGGGAGAGGGCGCTAATCACATGAATGCAAATAATATGCTTTCTGCAATGTAGGAGGGAAAAAACTGAGTTCATCACCATGAAATTAGAATTTTCCAGGTTTCTGAGTTTGCAATCTTACATGGCCTTTTGGTTCTTTTATGCCTGCTATAAGGCAGAGGGCCAGGAGAAGCTTAGAGCTCAAAAGGAAAACAAACCATCTGACAGCAGATGCTTAAGGAAAATTAATTCAGGCAAAATGCTATTTACAGAATTACCAAGATTTAATACTTTACTTTAAATCTTCTTCATACTGAAAATTCGGCCTACTGCCTTTGTTAAACTTTCCTGTAAGTCACAGCTGCAAGGCCAGCTTTTCAAATGTTTCCTTCATACCAAGTTAAAATCAAACGAATCCTCAATATCATCAGATCGCTCCTGAGGGGAAACCACAGCTGCAGAAATAATGTAATTATGCTACACATTCAAGCACATTTTCTAATATTCCACCAAACTACTTTTTTCCAGTTCAATGCTACAGAATGAACTCTGAATACTCTTTTACATAAAATTCTACTTTCTGAGATCACTAGCTGACCTATGCCACTAACCAAAATCCTGCAAACCCAGGCTATGCTATCAAATAGCAAAGATAAACTGCACATTTGCATATCCACGTATGTGTGTGTATAAAGTCTGTAAATGATCCTGTAAGCCAGTTTACAATCAGTTTTCTAAAATTTCTACAAAATGTCCACAGAACCTTTCTGAAACTGATGGATTACAATCAGAACAAAACAAGAAAAACACATTAAGAATTCCATTAATTTGTAATGTGGTTTAAACTAAGGTTATTTCTTTAAGATGTAAGAAGCCCAGTTTAGCTTTCTAAATCCAAACTGATAGCTAACAAATTATATGACAATGTTATGTCCTGCGCTTATATACTGAGGCATGGAATTATTTTGAAATCAGAATGACCTGCACTGCCCTGAAACAATGAGATACCTTAACAACAGCGTTTTTTTTAAAAAAGCAACAGACTGCACCTCTACCAGTTCTAGTAAAATCTCACTCTCCTACCTTCTCAAGAAAACCTCATAAAAACCAACCTTCACCATTCTTCAGTGATGATATTTTGCCCTAAGTATCACAAGTATCTACTGTAAAAACTAGTAACCAGAAAAAACTAAGCCTAGGTAAAGACGGCTGAAAGGATAGCACTTAACATGTAGGACATAATGGTCTCTTGTTAAGGTCCAGATTTTAAAAATTGTACCTGTCTTCCCCCATACTTTGACAGAACCATCAAAACAAACTAAAAATAGGGAAAACTGTCAGATGCCCTGCTGTGCAGCCAATGATCAGTGTCCTAACCTACCCTCTTCTGGGGGTGACTCTGCTGTCATAAATGTACCCTGGTCCCTCAGCAGCAGATGTCCCAGCCACCACCTGCTCTCAGTAACCCTCTCCATGAGAAAAGCCAGAAATCACACATTAGATGTTATAAGCTGAAAGTTCCCCTCTTAAAGTTACAGTAAATTAGGAAAACATATGAGCTTGAACTTCAGAAAAATCAAACTGCCTGGATTCAAATTCTGGTCTCTTCCCCAGCTGCAGAACTTTGGAAAACATGCGTCAGCCTCACAAGCAACCTGGCTAACTGTCCCATTCATGACAAGACAATCTCCTGAAGATTGTCAGGAGAACTGAACGAAACAGTATCCCAGGGAACTACTGATGGCACAGAGACTAGCACCCAAGAAGGGATTCACTTGATTTTAGCTGTTATTACCCTCATTATCCTGGGTTATTTAAAGTAATGAAAAGCCCAAGAGCATAGAATACTACTCAAAACAAAAGGAACCATCTCAATTTCTTAATTATTTTAGGAATAGTAATTTCTGCTGCTAACATAAAGACAGTTCAGGAATACACTTGTTACTCTTTAATCTCTAGAAGGCAGATTCATCTTTTCAAGCTTTATTTTCTAAGAACAAAGAAACAACTAGTAAGTTACAACAACTAGTAAGTTACAAGTTTTCCTGGTTAAGCTTCCTAACAGTTCTCTAAGGACAAACTAGAAATCTATTCTCTTTCATATTAAGCTGTAAAACAATAATACAGCAGCGAACTGATTTTACAAATGCTTCTCCAAGATCCTCTAGCACACTACTGCATTAGTTTTACACAGCTAAAAATCTACATAAATTCTCACTTTTGATAGGTAATTTTTAAAAAATGAATTAATGTTTTCTACTGAAGACATATTTACTGCTTTCTTATAAAAAAGCTCTTCATTTTCTGACCAATCAGGCAAAATTAAACCTACACACTCAAGCTGAATCTTCCTAAATGAAGAAAAAGAAGACAAAGCCATGTCATTACCAAATGCATTACACCTCTAAACTAAGGGTAATATTACCAGTCTACCTCAGAAACGTAAGAGTAGCTAGAACATACCACAAATAACTATCTACTATTAATGTACAAATTGCTTTCTGTAAAATTCTGGCATCTTAAGTCCAAAGGACAGCATTACAAAACTCCATATCTCAACAAAATAGCTACCTAAGTGGCTCGAATAAACACCAGTAATTTATTCTAGCACACACACACATAACTAAGGATCAAACAAGGCATGGCAGGTGAGACTGAAATGTAGTTCCATCAGTATACTACCTCGCAGCCTGGGAATAACCTCACCACCTAGGGGTCCTTTTATGTTAGCCAACTTTCAAATACTGTACCGAATAATTTAATATAGAGGTGTCTTGGGCTACCACATAAAAAATGCATAAGCATTTAACAGCTTTCCCTACTTGTCTGAGCCAGCAAGCAAACATTTGCATAAAACATGAAGTTTCATGAAATCATAAACCTCCACAGGCATATGAACAAGCACACCGAACAGAGCAGTATGAATACAAATGCCCTGACCCTCCCCATGAAATGAGCGTAGCGTTAAAACATTAAACTAAAAAGCAGTACACACCTTTAGTGCAATTTTGACTCTTTTAATCTTTTTGACCTTTTCAACTGTCTTTGGCCGACAATGTAAAAAGCAGATTGGAAGAATGTTAGTATTGACAGCTGACAAGATCACCAGTAGATTAATAAGTCGGAATAGTCAAGCGTGACAGAAAAAAAAAAAAGAATATTATTTTTAATTTTGCCTACTTCAAAACATACAAATATATCATGCCACTGAGAATTTTGGCCATTTTCAAATTACATCGAGTTAAAAACAAATACATTTTTAAACTCTAAAGACAAATCCCATATTGTAACTTACAGGATTCAGGGTATTACACTGGTCTATAGGATTCTTGTAATCGGTCTTCAGCTCATCAAATGCTATAATCTAAAATAAAATTAGAACAGTTAGGACCACTCACTCAAGTAAAAAGCAGCAATAAATCTGCCCCATCATCAGTTAGTTATTCAATAAAGCAAGCAAGTGCCAACATTACAGGTACCAATTTACAGTAAACTCAGCAAACATTAAAAACCATCAGAACCAGAACTGGATTTAAAGAACTGAAATGCGCTTGTGTTGTTATTACTGAAATGATATCACTGCGATGGCTTCACTTGTCAATTTATTCAGTGTCTCTCTGTTTAAGTCGCAGTCTATACTTGAAATGAGCTTTCCCTCACCTTCACCACTATTTATTCAAACTCCTCTCCATCCTAAAGCTCCTCTTTCTTTGTGGCCTCCTCTCTGGGGTTTCCTGACTCCTTTGGCCAGAAATAACTACATCCTTGTCTGCATCCCCATGCTTACCACGCTGCCAACTTGGCATTTCTCACCCTGAGCCTGCTATGCGCGCTCTGATTTGTCCCCTGGGCCCTGTGCTTCTTGGAGAGAAGGACCAGTTTTAATTATCTGTGCCCTTCCCTTGGCACAGTGTCCAAGAGACACTAGAGATGGAATTGAACACTGCAATTTATTCCCATTTGTGTCTAAACACATATATTTCTAGGAATGATTTTATACACATTGTGAAAGAACATGACTTTATTTAACTTAAGGGTTGCTAAAACACAGGACTTTAAAGTCAAGATATACTGAAAATCAACAGGGGCTGCACACCACACTTAGTGGCATTAACTCAGGTGTCAAAGCAACAGATTTACAGGACAGCTATTTTTGTTACTGACAATGATCACCTAGGAGACTCAATCATCATACATTTCCTCAGGGAGCTGGGAACAGTATCTTCAGATTTTGACAGTGTTACTCCATATTAACAGTGAATCACATTGCTTTTAATACGGTCATTCGCCTGTTAAGGGCCTTTAATTTTGTAAAAAGATTTCTTTTAATTTCTAGAATTTTATTCTCTAACCTGCTGCAATAAAAACTCCAACCAAATAGTACAAATAGTAACAAAAGGAAAATAGTTAGACATCAGCAATGTACACAGGAGGATATTTACTATATACACTGCAATGACCCAGCGCCTAAAATGTAAGTGTGCCTGGCACAAGATTAAGTGGTCAATAAACAAGACTGACTGGAAAGGAATAAAAAACAGTGGAAAACAACCAAACAAGCACTAAGCTAATGATAAAGAAAAAAAAAAAAATACAGAACTCACCAAAAGGGATTCTCCTTTGCTGAGCTACACGCCATGCCATTGGCTGTGGTATACCCTCAAACTGTATTATGAAAGTTCATGGCAAGGATGATAATCACAATACAATGCCATATAATACGACTTAGTAACAAAATGAATATAAAGCTTTACTTTTAAAACTAACTTTTTTGATTGGATGTTTTCTTTAAGTGACTTAAGGGATTTTTTTTGAGTAAGCTATTGAATAGGTTTCTAGCCAAGTGCTATCAAAGTAGTTTTCAAAACTTCTGCAAAGACTCTTAGGCTGGTGGTTTTCACTCCTCTGCAGCTCGACAAAAACATTCACTAAATTTTCCGCTGAAGTAAAAAAAAAAATAAGACAAATCCCTAAAGATTCCAAAGAGCACAGTTCCATGAGGAACACCTACAAGGAATGCCTTCTGAATGTACAGCTTTCAAATCATCTATGCACACAACTCTATTTTACACCATGCATCCCTTACATGATTAGTACTAAGCTGACAAATGACACTATCACCATAAAGCATCTTCCAGTATAACAACGAATATAAAAAGGAAGTTTGAAATTTAGATTTAAAGTGTCCAAGTGAGTTTTTCTGAAAGATACTTAAACTGTCTTACAAAATAAACTGAAGGTTCTGTGGGTAACAGAACAAAGAAAACTATATATTTATTTAAGACTGTTTCCCAAAGGCTGCAGTATTTCTCTGAACAAGAAATCCCTATGCTTTCCACCCATCTGTGGTACGACTGTTTATTCTGTAACAGGACTTCAAATTATCTACTTCCTCCAGGCACTTTATCTTTTAAAGCTTACATTACTCATTTTTTACAAGTGCAGTTCAGATTTTTCTTGAGCTAAATACAACCTGGTTTGAAAGTAAAAATGTGTCATGGCGATCTTAACTGATCGCCCATCCTGGGCAAATTAGGGAGATTGCATCTCAAAAATGCTACCAATTCAGAGCTCTGTTCTGTGACTCTCCAGCACCCACATTAAAACCACATCTGAGGCTAGGGCAGAGCTACTTTGCATCCCAATTATCTTATTTACTGTTACTTCATCAAAGAAAAGCGTAACACAGCCTTCAAGTTTTTGGTTCCTAGAGCTCACCTCGGCAGTATATATACAAATTTTTGGTTCCTAAGGACATTTCTGACAGTGAACACGTACGCACATATTCCCTGCTATCTAACCAGGCAGATTCCTGAATAATCACACAGTTGAGCAAAAGGGAGTGGATTTGTGATACCACTGTACTTTCTCCACCGAATACTGGTACCATGTAATCAATCTGCCCCTCAAAGCTTCCTCAGAAATCAGTTAAGATCACCATGACACCTGACTTAAAATTTCCACCAGTGAACATTCTAGATCATTCAAATTCACACCAACATTCCAAAACGTACTGCACTATAAAGGGTGCGGAAGTAACTATGTGATAAATTTTTAACCAATATTGATTTCCAGAGCTTTCAAGACTTCGAATTTTGTACTGGAAAAACAGAAAGCATTAAAAATCTCGGGGCAGAGAGTAGGGCGTGGTGGCCTACGCATGTAAGACACAGGATGCTAAAGCAAGAGATTCACAAGTTGGAGGCCATCCTGGGCAAATTAGGGAGACTGTGTCTCAAAAATGAAAATAAAAACCAGCAAAGAGTTGGGGATGGAGTACGATGATAGAGTTCCCGGCACTGGCTCCCCAGTGCCAAAGGGGGAAAGTCCCTCACGCATCACAGGTAAGGATGCGCCTCTACCCTGCAACACAGAATCAAAACCGCCCTAGAGGAGCTAAAGGTGTCCGAGCAGCCTCAAAAATCACATGAAAACTCCTTCCACTCCATTAAGCTCCCTGGAATACAGAGGTGCCTTGGAAGGCTGCCCAAAAACTCCCGCGATCCAAGTGTGATCGAGGCAGGCAGAGGAAGCAACTGATCCACCCTGCGCCAAAGTTCACCCGGAATACAGGAACCCGAGAGGGTCAAAAACAAAGAAGGAGATTCTAAGAAGCAGAGTTGGAAATCGAGCTAAAGTGGGTCCTAACTATCTTAGCGAGGACGCACTCCCGCGGAAAGCCTGTCGGGAAAAGGGATCCCACGGGCCACGAGGCGTGGGATTCAGGGAACTCGGCGCCGAGCGCGCGCCGCGCACCCCCCGATCCCGGGCGCCCCCCGCCGAGGAAGCCGCGCGAGCGGCCTGCGCGGCCCGGCGCCCCGGCCCCTCCCCGCGCCTCCTCCGGGGCCAGGCCCCGGCCCCGGCTACTCACGTGCCAGATGGCGAAGAAGATGAGCGCGGCAGTGAGCAGGAGCGCCAGCATGTAGCAGAAGGCCGCGAACGTGAACGCCATGGCTGGGGCGGAGCGGCTGGCGGCGGCGCGGGTGCCAGCGGAGAAAAGCGACGCGGGGCCCGCTGGGTAAAACCATTCACTTCCCCTGGCCGCGGCCACCACCGCCGCCGCGGCGCCCGCCCCGCAGCGCGCCTGCGCACCAGCGCCGCCGCGCCGGCGCCCTCTGATGGCCAGAGTCTGCATCGCCTTGGTGTGCTCTGCACTGTGACTCATTGATCACTGGTCCTTCCTTCTCTCAGTTCTTTGAATAAATAGCTACTGAATGAGTACTTTTTTCCAGCTGTTTTGGTCTCCCTTGATACAAAAAAAAAAAAAAAAAATGGATATAGTACTTGCATTGAAAGACAGTAATAGAATGCAGGAAAGGAACAACCACATGGTATTATAACCCTGTAAACAGATGCTGACCGGTTGCTATGCTGGTCCAAGAGTAGCACCCAGCCTGCCCCAAGCACTTTCGGCAGGATTCCTGGAGCACGATTTCTAATCTGAGGCGTCATGGTGAGTAGAAGTTATCCAAGCAAAGAAAAATTGAACTCAGTAGTGCAAAAAGATTAAGGGCACAGAGATGGGGGGGGAAATGAAAAAGAAAAGCTTGTTGTTTAGATGAAAGAAGCAACAGTTTTGCATTAATAGAATTGTAAGCGCTAGCCGGAGTTGAGAGAAAGGGCCAGGTAGAAGTTGCCTTGTAGAGAGCCGTGTACACCTAGGAAAGGTCAACCAAAGTTTTTCAAAGTTTTTTGCTCAATGGACACAATTAGAAATATTTTTCCATTGCAGCCCAGTGACATAATAAAGACATAAATTATAGAGGTAATATTAGGTATGGAAACAAATTAATTTTCACAAAACCACTAAACATCCGTAAGTACTTCCTTTCTTCCTGGTTGGTTGGTTGATTTCCAAACCATCCTATATAGTCCAAGCTGACTTCCAGTTGGGTGATCCTCCTGACTCAGCCTCCGTCCAGAATGCTGGGATTACAAGTGTGTGTCACCTCATCTGGCTTTATTTTGTTTTTCATGCTGGTTGCAGCCCACAAAATTGGTTTGCTACCTACTAACTGCTGCTTGTGGAAGAGAAAATTAGGCAAGGCTGTTAAGCAAGAGACAGCATGTTTAGATTTGCATTAAAGAACACTTGCAAATCACGAGAATGATTCTGAAGAAGGATCTGTCCTGCGCTATCCAATAGATTTTTCTGCAGTAGTGTGGTTTGCTATACCAGCACTGTCTGGTACAATAGCTATTGGCTACTTGTAGCTATGGAACACTCACAGTGTGGCTACTGTGAAATCAAACTTTAAATTTTACATCATGTTCATTAATTACAATTTAAATAAGCACATGTGACTAGAGGTTACCATATGAGACTGCAACACAGGCCTGTACCACCAGAATTATGTGGCACCTTTGCACAAATCACAAAGGTAATTTCTGTGGATACACATACAGAGGCGCACACTGGAGAGGAGAAATGCAGTTGTATTTCTGCCTCACTAATCTCCTTCTCAGGTACCCATGGGCAGGGCACAAAATGTTCAACTGTACACAACAACCTTGATCAGGGAGGTGGTCATGTGGGAAAGGGGCTACCACAATGGTCCGAACAAAGTTGCTGTGAATCCAAACTAAAGCACTAGAAAGCTGTGATGAAAAGGAACCTGATAGTGTTTGAGAGACAGCTCAGCGGGACTTGACTAACTGAATGTGCAGTGAGAGAAAGAAAGGAGAAACAATGACCTATGCAGTACTTCTGGTCACAGAGGCAGGGCAGAATCCAGCATGGGCAATGTCCGTGCAGGAGAATTTACAGCCTACTGAGGCAGGGACTAACCCCTGAGCCCAGAGGAAAGAGTTTCCAGGGGGATTGTTCAAGGCAAGCCCTGAGATCCAGGCCTCTTCTAAATAAATCTGTCTATACGTTGGGAAGCGCTCTTTCACCCCTGGATGTCAGAAGATCCTACATTTTGGCAGCCAGCTTTCCTTGCACTTCATTTGAAATGATCTTCCCTCATCTGGCACCCGTCCTGTGTCAGATGGAACGCAACAAGCTCACACAGTGACACCCTCACTGTATCACCCAGCCTCCTCCACGTGCTGCTGTGGTGAACCTCAGACCTGTGAGGTCTGACACATGAGACACAAAGCATGGGTGGCTATCACAACAAAAATTATATTTAAAAATCAGTTTCTCAACCACATATTTCCAGGGCTCAGTGGCCTTCTGTGACTCATAGCCACTGTATTAGATGGTATAGATAAATATTTCCATCATCACAGAAAGTTTCATTGCACAGCATTGCTTTAGACAACATCATACAGTTACAGTCTATTAGAAAATGCACTCAGTATAATGATGGCCAAGAACCAATTAAATCAACCATCATTAATTAAATCAATATGGCAGCACATGCCCTGAATCTCAGCTACTCAGGAGGCGAGGCAAGAAAAATCCCAAGTCAGAAACCAGCTTGAGCAAGATGCTGTCACAAACTTTTTAAAATTTTTTAAAGGGCTAGGGTATAACTTAGTGGTAGAGTGCTTGCCTCATGTGTGTGAGGGTTCAATCTCCAGTACTGCAATAATTAATTAGAATTAGATAAATAAATATGTTGGCCAACAAATACATCAACCATCAAGGCAGGAGGTGAGAAAAATAATAGGCTAGGGGCTGGGTATTTAGCTCAGCAGCATAAGTGCCTGCCTTGCAAGTGTGTGGTCGTGAGTTTGATCCCTGGTACCGATTAAAAAAAAAAAAGAAAGAAAAATAAGAGGCTTACTTGACATTTTGGAAGACTATTACCAATTCCCCTCAAAATCCTCCCCTGGCCTCAAACACATGTATCCCATAGTTCTTGCAACTCAGTACTTGTGCTTGCCAGGCAGGTACCGTGCCACAGAACTATAGCCCCGGCTGTTCTGACCACTTTCTGAAGCAGTTCTAGAAGTACTTTTTCTAAGTGTCTAGTTGAGTTGTCATGGCTGCCTTTATCTCCTCAATGGATTAAGAACTTTTACCGTTCATGGTCATTTTGACTGTGGGGGAGAGCCAGAAGTAAGTCACCTGGTGCCAGATCTGGTGAATTAGGTGAATGAGACATCCTAACATTTGTACGAGCTTGACTTTTTATTGGATGGACTGGGAGCATTCACATTAATTTTCATCATGGCCTCTGGAGACACAGTAATTTTGGTCATATTCTTCCAGAACTGTTTCAGAAAGTGTCAAGATTGATGGGATAAATGTGTTTGCAGAAAAGACATTATTTTGAAGGGAACTGCTGGAAATGTGTCTTCTCTATAATACATTTTAAAAATTCAAACATTCATCTGTATCTTGATCACATCTCATGTAAGAGACATGCAGAGCTTTCTGCAAACATCAATTCATACTGTGAGTTTTAACTTTGAACACATACATAATTAAAACCTAAACACTCCAATTAATTAGTAATAATGACACCAAGACCAGTGGGTGAGAGACAAGACTTCCCTTCCAGAAGAGTTCCAGAGATGGAAACAGAAGAAACAGGCTGAACTGTTTTCCTAGCCACACAGGCTGCATTACCATTATTTCCTTCTCTTCATTCTGTAAGAGACAGTTGCTGACTTTGGAATCTCATGTGAGAAAGGATCCCAGAAGTCCTGGTTACTTTTATCTTGTTGCTGGGACAAAATACCCAACGCTCAAAATGAAGGAAGGAAAGGTTTATTTAGCTTACAGTGTGTGGAGGTTTCAGGCCATACTCAGCTGGCTCCAAGAGACAGGGCCACATGGCTTCGTGGCAAGTAGCAAGAGCTAAAGGGCAAAAGAGAAAAGCACGCCTCCTTCCCGCCCTTACGTTGTGTGCTGGCCACACTCCTAGGCAGGTATAACACTCACACCACCAGTCCAGGCACTAGTCATGAACCAATCACAAATGCTGGATTCAGCTACCTCCATGACTGCTTGAGGCTTTGTAGGGCCATCCAAACACAAACCATAACACCAGCCAAGGATTCCAAGGCCAGTACTGCAGTCAAGAATCACAGTCCTGCTACTTCTAGCTCTGAAATGGCCTTGGGGAAGTAACTCTGCCTTTCAAAGCCTGTTTCACTATATGAAAGAAAGCAGATGATATTAATGCCAAAGTCATAATATTGTCCTGAGAATTCCGCAAGAGATAAAGCATTCGGTGTCGATAAATAGAACTGACAATCATCTCTGCCAAGCTAAGATGACAGACTCAATATGCTTAACAAAAAGACAACTCCAATGCAAAAGGAGAAAAAAAGAAGAGGTAAGATGTGGGCCCTAAGTGGGAAATTTAATGTCTAAGAGAAAGGCATCCTTCCATATCCAGAAGGATGACTGGGAGCATGTTCAAACCTTTACTAGCTTAAAAGGAAGTTGATTATGTTCCACAGGCTCTCCAAACACCTAGTATCTTCTAAGGACGCAACTACAATGTCCTCACAGATAGTTGAACCCAGCCCATTGCTAGGCCCATTCATCAAGCCCCATGTGCTCAGGACCCAAGGCAGTGGCAAGCGATGGTGGCAGATTTCCTGAGGATGACAGTTTTGAAATTGCCAGAACAGCCAATAATAAGGAAACAGTTAAGTAAATCATAATATATGCACTGAAATATCATTAAGCTAGTCATTTGCAGGTTTTTAAATGGAGAAGGTTTAAATAATGTTACTCATGATTTGAAATTGGATACATGCCATATACAATATCTTTATGAAGTACCTGGAAAAGAGATTGAAAGGAAACTCGTGGATATGAAAACATTACCAGTGATTACAGAGTGGAATAATAAGAATTCTACCTACTTTTACATTCCTGTATTTACCACTTTTGTTCCAAGACAAATACACTTGAAAATATCTTTTTTTTTTTTTTTTAAAGACAGAAAAGAGACAGGTAATTTGGCTTTGGTTTTAATCCAGAGTTTATCTGGAGGGCACTCTGAGGTCATTATCAAATATTTATTTTTTAAAAGGGAACGACTGCTTAAACAAGTGATAAAATTGCAGATACTCTGAAACAAATGCTCAGCAAAAGATCCATGCATTCTTAGATCACAAAAATCTTAGCTTTATCCAACAGAATGCACCGTTTGTGAACTTCAGCTCTTTTCTATAATG